CTTTTGCCGACAATCACGAGTTTTGGTCTTTGAGTTATTTATACTCGCCCAGTCGGACTTGTGCCGACAATCACAAGTTTTGGTTTCTTCTGTATAAAAATGTCGAAGAATCATATGAGGAAACAAGAAATGATGATGTTTATTGAATAAAAAACTTATCGGATTGTGGTGCCTCGTTAAAAACCTTCTCATCAAAAACCCCTCTTATTTTTACGAGGAAAAAATACTGAGTTAGGAAAAGAGTGCACCTAGTACAAATGTAAAGAGAAATCAGCTATAATAGAAACGTAAGTTTGCAGCGTTCCAAGTTCTTGGTATAATCCCTCCATCCAAAGTCCTCAGTCGGTAAGCTCCCTTGCCAACCACATCATCAATCTTATATGGGCCAACCCATTTAGGCGATAGCTTGTTCCTCATCTGTGTTAGCTAAGCACGCCTCAAAACTAGGTCGCCTACGACAAAGTCTCTTGGATTTACCTTTGTGTTGTACTTGAAGGCTGCTCTTCTCTGCGCTGCTACTTGATTTCTTCTTGCTCTTTCTCTTATCTCTGCGATCAAGTCCAAATCAATTCGTCTTCCCTGGTCGGATTCTTCTTCAGAAAAAGCTGTAGTGCGCACTGAAGGCTATGCAATTTCGATCGGGATCATGGCGTCGGTTCCGTATACCAGATTGAAGGGAGTATCTTGGGTCGTTGAATGAACAGTCGTGTGGTACGACCATAACACTCGGGGAAGCTCTTCCACCCATGAAGCGCCTGAGTCTTGCACACGCTTCTTCAAACCTGAAAGGATTACCTTGTTGGCCGACTCCACCTGGCCGTTAGACTGTGGGTGTTCAACGAAAGTGAATGCCATTCGGATGCCGACCTCTTTACAAAAATCCCGAATTCTCGCACTCGCAAACTGTGTCCCATTATCGGAAACGAGCATTTGAGGGACTCCATACCTGCACACCACATTCTTCCAAAGAAAAGCTCTAACCTTCTCTGCTGAGATGGTTGCAACTGGCTCCGCCTGGATCCATTTGCTGAAGTAGTCTACTGCCACTATCAAGAATTTCAGTTGCCTTACCGCGATCGGAAATGGACAGAGAATATCAATCCCCCACTTGTGGAAAGGCCAGGGAGACAGGATTGAATGTAGTCGTTCAGCCGGGGAATGGTGTAGGGTTGCATGTCTTTGGCATCCATCACACTTTTGGACCCAATTGACGCAGTCGTTCCTCAAGGACGGCCAAAAGTACCCCGCCCGGGCAACTTTGTACACTAAAGCTCGGCCTCCAATGTGACTTCCACACATTCTGCTATGCACTTCATCCATCACTCTCTGCGCTTGTGACATGGTCAAGCACCTCAAAAGGGGAGAGTTGAAACCTCTGCGATACAACCTTTCGTTGATCACCACAAACCTGGCTGACTCTCTCTACACCAACGATGCCTCCCTTTTATCCTTCGGTAGCTCCCTCTGAGTCAGATACGCGATGTACGGTCCCATCCACGAATTAAGGTCTTCCTGGATGAAAAGGACATTCGCTTGCGCCTTATTTATACTCGGTTGTGTTAACGTTTCTTGGATGACCGACCGAGTTGCCCCTGGCTTCTTTGTGCTTGCAAGCTTTGACAAGAGATCGGCTCGTGAGTTTTGCTCCCTGGGGACATGATTTAACGAAAATTTGGCAAAGCCAGCCGACACGACCTTTACTTTTTCAAGGTACCGAGCCAGTTGGGAATCTTTGGCCTGGAAGGTTCCTGCTACCTGCCCCGTCACAAGCTGTGAGTCACTCCTGGCCGACAGGCTTGTCGCGCCCATCTCCTTTGCCAAGGTCATCCCTGCCAACAGCGCTTCATACTCTGCTTGATTATTGCTCTCCCGAAACTCGAACCGTAGTGATTGCTCCAAGAGGATACCTCCTGGCCCCTCGAGGACGATCCCGGCTCCGCTGCCACTTAAGTTCAAAGCTCCGTCGACCGAAAGGATCCACTCGCTCTCTCCAGAAGAATGCTCCTCGGCTGGCGGGGTCAGTTCTACTAAGAAGTCGACCAACACTTGAGCTTTAATGGCTCCTCTCGGTTCGTACTTGATTGCAAATTCTGACAACTCGATTGATGGGGTAGTCTGTTCGGATTACTACTTCGTAGCTCTGAAAATAGTGTCTGAGCTTTCGCGCGGTTATGACTACGGTAAGCGCCAACTTCTCAATTTTTTGATAGCGAAGCTCTGTGTGACACCCTTACTACCCCAACACATACATCATAATCTATGTGGTAACCTAGGCATTCCTTAGAAAATAATGAAAATACTACTAGAAAATTTCCTGAGCAATTTTGGAGTATATTATTTGTTGGATAGTTATTAGAAGAAAGTGTCAAAAGGAGCCTTGAAGGCTCATATGTTGTATCCAACAAATAATATAGTCCAAGAATTGAGTGCTTTATTAAAAAAACTAAGGTAGTAGGAGTCCTAAACAAAGGAGGGCTATCTACCTTGGGCACCACCAAGGAAGAGCATAAGAAGTAGGACTAAGTGAAGTCCACTTCTTCTTCACTAAATCTTGAAGTTGAGATTCATTTTCTTTAAAAATAATCGATTTATGAATCTCCTCTTCAAGACTAGTGGTAGCATGAGGGTAAGAGTTAAGATATTTATGAATAAAGAGAATATTCTTCATATGATTTTTATTAATAAAACAATTCTCTTTATTCACAAATCCCTTAGAGGATATATCTTCCTCTTTACACTTCCCTACAGAGAATTTTGAGAGAGAAATTCTGTTCATATATCCAAAAGTGTCTACAAATGAGAGATTTGGAAATATATAGAAGTAGGTTGCTTAAGGAGTAAGCTAAGCTTAACCATGGTTCAAGTGAATCATGGTTGGCTTAGCTTGACTGGTCACCTTAGTTTAGGAGGCTTGTGGAGAAAGCTTCTACCTTAGCTTGCTTAAGTTAGAAGCTTGTAGCACAAGCTTCCCAAAGCTTCAAGGAAGAAGAGAAACAATTTGGCCAAGATGAAGCTAGGCGGCCTTAGGCTTGTTTTGCTCACTAAATCCATTCCAATAATGTTTAATTTAGTTTATTTACGTCCATCCAAAAATGATGAGACCTAGCTAAATAAAATCCTTGAAAAATTAGGAGCAAAACAAGTCTAATATGTAAAATTTTGCCTAGGCCCAATTCTGGCCCAATTACTAGTCACACCCTCAAGCATTGCTAATTGCCACCCCACTTCTACTACTGAAAAATAGAAAAAGAATGACCTTCAATACAAGGTCAAATAGAGTAAAAGTCTCCAAAGAACCTACTCTAATTTCATTATACAATGATCTATAAAAAGGAAACAAAGTGCCTCACAAATACAAAGGAAAAATAAACCTATACAAGTAACTACTATATTTACAAACATTTGAGAGGTCTTCAAAATCATCTCATTCCTCATGATTTCTTTAATGTATCACCTCTTGGTTTCCTTAGTCTTGTCATATTTCCATCATCCCCTCCCTCTTGAAAAGGATTTGACCTCAAATCTCTAGAGTCTTCATGATGGTCATCCATACCTACAAATATATAATACAATTCATAAGAGGTGACATTGTCAATCAATAGATGTGAAAGGCATATCCTAAGAGGAATCCTTTCATAGAACCTAATAAAGAAATTAATGACACTAGACCTTCTAGAATAATGAATAAGTTCCTCTCCTAAACAAAGTCTAGATATGTCACTAAACCCTAAAAATGTGCTAAAACTAAGACTATAACAACCTAAAAATTTAATCCTAACAACTAGAACATCTTGCCTAAAGTACCCTATGTGGTAACCTAGGCATTCCTTAGAAAATAATGAAAATACTACTAGAAAATTTCCTGAGCAATTTTGGAGTATATTATTTGTTGGATAGTTATTAGAAGAAAGTGTCAAAAGGAGCCTTGAAGGCTCATATGTTGTATCCAACAAATAATATAGTCCAAGAATTGAGTGCTTTATTAAAAAAACTAAGGTAGTAGGAGTCCTAAACAATGCCCCTTGCAGCACCCTGCTAACAAAATAAACAGGAAGTTGGGAGTTACCTTTTTCCTGCACCAAAACTGCACTGACGGCATTGTCGGACGCCGACAAGTATACTAACAAAGGGTAGTCGGTTTGCGGTTTAGTGAGGATCGGCGGTGAGGTGAGGGCCTGCTTGAGTTCACCGAATGCTCTTTCACATTCGTCTGTCCATGCAAAGCGATCGTTCTTCCTCAAGCATTGGAACAAGGGTAACGACTTGTTCGCTGCCTTTGAAAGAAACCGAGAGAGGGAGGCCATCCTCCCTGTCAGCTGCTGGACCTCTTTTACCGTTGTTGGGCTTCCCATATTGATTATCGTGGAGCACTTGTCGGGATTCGCCTCAATGCCACGATGAGTCAGTAGGAATCCGAGGAATTTTCCTGCTTGGACGCCGAAAGAGCATTTTGCTGGGTTCAACTTCAGTTGGTATCGTGCCAGAGTGTCAAATGATTCCTGTAAGTCGGAAAAATGTCGAGAGACAGTAGGTGACTTGACTACCATGTCGTCTACGTATGCCTCAACATTCCTTCCCAACTGATTTGCCAACACCTTGTCCATAAGCCTCTGATATGTCGCCCCGGCGTTCTTCAAGCCGAAAGGCATCACCTTGTAACAATAAGTGGCTTGGTCGGCTATGAACGCTGTTTTATCTTCGTCGGTAGGGTGCATCCTGATCTGATTGTATCCTGAGTAGGCGTCCATGAAACTCAACAATTCATACCCCGATGCGTTGTCGACTAGACAATCTATGTTGGGCAGTAGGTATGAATCTTTCGGACAGGCTTTGTTTAAGTCGGTGAAGTCTGTGCACATCCTCTAGTTTCCATTACTCTTTCGTACCATCACCACATTTGCTAGCCACGTCGGGTATTGGATTTCCCGGACGTGACCAGCTGTCAACAATTTCTTCGTCTCCTCGGCTATGGCCCTTTTCTTGTCCTCTCCAAACTTTCGTCATTTTTGAATCACCGGCTTTGCATTGGGGTCGACCATGAGACGGTGACATAGGAAGTCGGGATCGATGCCTGGCATGTCGCCAGCACTCCATGCAAAAGCTGACACGTTGCTCTTCAATACAGTCAGCAACCCTTCCTCCTCTTCTTTATCCAAAGACACTCCAATCTTGACCGTTTTTCCCTCGGCCAAGCTAACTTCCTTCACATCTTCCGCTGGGGCTGGTCGGGAATCGAAGTGAGTCATCCTCAGATCTAACTCGATTGACTGGACCCCCCGATCGACCTGTGTCACATATAACTGTCTCCTCGCCCTCAGGTTGTCCTCGTAGCACTTCCTTTCGACTTCTTGATCAACACAGAGGACCCCAACCTTTCCACTAGGTAAAGGGTACTTCAACTTCAAGTGGGGTGTGGAGACAACTGCTCCCAATTTATTCAATGTCGGTCGTCCGACTAGTATGTTGTAGGACGACTGAGCATTGACCACCAGGTATCGGACAGTGATAGTCTTCATGTGGTCTCCCTGGCCGAAAGTTGTCTCCAAGTCGGCGTATCCCCTAGCAGTTACCTGATCACCTGCAAAACCAACTAATGTACCTGCATATGGCATGAGACGGTCGGTCAGAATTTTCATCCCGACAAAAGCTTCCCAAAACATTATGTCCGCCGAGCTGCCTTGGTCCACCAGTACGCGTTTCACGTTGTAGCCCATGACTATCGCCGAGACGACTATCGGGTCATCCTCATGTGGGGACACCCCTTCGAAGTCGGTGTCCGGGAACGTGATAGGTGGCCGAGATGGTCTCACCCAGTCTGAGACCGATAACACCGACCGAGAGTATCTCTTCCGTGCTGCTGATGTTGGACCTCCTCCAGCAAATCCCCCCGCTATTGTGTTGAACTCTCCATGTACAGCTTGCTGATGGGTCTCTGCACTTTTTTCCGGAAGATCTCTAGGGGGAGACCTCCCTTCTCGCCTCCCTCTTCTCGTGTCTTCTCCTTCACGCCTGCGTCGCCTATCGGACGAGCCTTCATCTCGTGTCCCTACAATGAATTTTTTCAAACGACCCTCCTTGATAAGGCGCTCAATCTGCCTACCGAGAACGAAGCAATTCTCCGTAGTGTGTCCATGGGTCCGATGGAATTCACACCAGTCAGTTTTGTGAGGTCCCAACTGGGAGTTGGTTGCCGCTGGGAATTCGAAAAGTGACGCGCTGTTGACGTCGTGCAGTATGTGCCGCCTAGGAACGTTGAGTGGAGTAAACTTCTCTTCTTCCTTGTTGCGTGTCCACTCATCTCTTGGCCGACCAATGTGATCGGCCTGCTGGTAGTTGCCTTCCTTCGTGTTATAACGATCGCGTCGCTTACTCTAATCCGATCGCGGTCGGAGATGCTTGTTAACATCCTTATTGCTCCCCCCTACTTCTCGGTTCTCCGCTGCCCTTTTAATAATCTGGTTCTCCTCCGTCTTGATGTGACTTAAGGCGAAAGCCCGCACCTCCGACATCGTTTGACAATTTGCTTTTTCAAGCGCGATGTCGAAAGCCCCGGACCTTAAACCCTTCTGGAATGCGATGACCGCCATCCTTTCGTGCAACGACGCTATCCTCAAGGCGACATCATTAAACCTTTGCAGAAAGGCTTTCAGCGACTCCTCACGTTGTTTGAGGTCAAACAAGTCCGACGTGATCGGCGGCTTCTTTTTGTTAGCGGCGAACTGCGCCATGAAGAGTCGGCTAAAGACGTCGAAGTCGGTGATCGATCGATCAGGAAGACCGTTGAACCAATCAAGCGCCGCCTTCTTGAGCGTGCCCATGAACAATTTGCAGCGGACCTCCATGCTCCCACCACAGATCAACATTTGAGCGCGGAAGTCTGTCAAATGCTGACTGGGGTCCTGCGTTCCATCAAAGGGCTCGACCTGTGGTATCCGATGATCCCTAGGGATGATCTCGGCCTCTATGGCTTCCGAGAATGGTCGAAAGTCTCTAGGGACCTCCAGCATGACATCCTCCTCCACAGTCCTGGTACTGGCCGCTATTCTGGCTTGCATCTTGTCCGCTCTCCTCCTGATCTCTTCATTCTCGCGCTGAATGGCCTCCTCTCTCTCCCTGGACCGCGCATTCTCCTCCCTTAAGCCATTGATCATGGCCATCATCTCTTCCATGGTAGGGGGTTGTGAGTTGTTGTTGTTATTGCCGCCTCTCGCCATGGTAAAGTGTAGGTCTTTCTGTATGACTTGGGGCGTAGGAAAAGTTTCACCGTAGCCCCACGGTGGGCGCCAAAATGTTCTGGCCAAAAGGTGCGCTAGGGTTTTTTCCTAGGTCAAGCCTCAAAGCCAGAGCATTCAAAGTGTAAATCTCCCCGCCTAGACTTAGGGTTTTAGGTTTTATACCTCATCGTCCATGGGCCTCATGGGTCCCGAGAACGTAGGGGTTTCCTCAACCGTTCTTGCTACGAAGCCGCGCAATGAGCGAGGATTAATCTAGTCGGTCTTTAACCGACTAGGTCTGTGCCATGGGTCCAGTCGGGTAATCACGGAGATCCGACTTGTAAGCGAGCGAATCCGAGCTGGGGCCGAGTCGGCTTGTACACCAAGGATCAAGTCGGGTACGCGCCGAGTGACCGCCTCATAGGCAAGTGGGGTCGAAATAGGAGTAAGTCAGCTCGCATAGAGGTGTTAACTCGGTCGTAGGCCGAGTGGTTATCAGTCAAACGGAGGATCAAGTCGGATTTTGACCTGGACGGTACACTAGCCTTCCAGCTTTGAGTCGATAAGGCGAAAGGGCTTGTGGCCTGGTAACTTAGTCGGGTATTCGCCGAGTAGAGGTCAAACGGATTTCGACCTGGACGGGATATATATATATATATATAGGCCCCTGGGGGAAAAGGAAGAGGCGCCCTATATAAAATATTTAATTAACCAAAACAGATACATTAATACATGAATCCCTAGAAACAAAAATGGTGCAATGAACCTGATATTGCTAAAACCAAACAAATTCTGCATCTCGACGTAATGATTCAATATGTGCGCGAATTGAAGAACGACACACCCTTTCAGCTAGTCATTCCTAGAGATATCTTTTTCCGAATGATACCTATCATTAATTGGCACACCACTCGGCTATGCAAGGGCACATGCCCCAAAACCCGGAATGTATTTTAACACTCAACTATAGTGTCACATTATCCATGCTTTTTAGGGAAGATGGAAGACAGGTCAGCTGGTACAGAAGGCATAGCCGTATTAGTCGACCTAAATAGAGAGCCTCGGCGGAAATGTCATGCTTAACACAACACAAAAAAGTTGATCCCACTCTGCTCATATAAGCCTCAGAAGATGCATGTTTCCACCGTGGATATTCTCTCTCTCCCCTTTCCTATACTCCTCGGTATCCAAGATGCATTCGGCCATTCAATAATTAAACCTTCTGAAACCGCATCCCCAACCCTTCACGGAAGGATACACCCCTTCGGCCATGTGACAAGCCTATGGCATGCTTTTCATTTCTATAGATAATGCATTAAAAGGTGTTGTCGGCTATCACATGGTTACAAATAGAGGGAGCTTAGGATGAGTTGTGTACCAACCTCGGTCAAATGGTGACCGAGTTCGAACCAACTCGGCCTGCCAACTTGGCCTGTCAACTTGGCCTACCAACTCGGCCTACCCAAACTTGAATCACAATATTAAGTAGTTAATTTAACGGTAAATAATGATGGTTACATAGAGAAGGAAAACGGACAATAGCAGGTAAAAATATATACATTTCATTGGACAATCTCAGACAATTAACTTGATCATCGGAGTCCTTTTTGCAGGTACATCCAAGATGCTTGGAGAAGGCAACCAATCTCGGCGACCAATCTCGAAGACCAATCTCAAAGACCAATCTCAAAGACCAATCGCTCATGATCTCTAGAGAGACCAAGATAGAGAAGATGATAAATCTGACTTGAAGGACCGACCTGATTCTGGTAAGAACATCTTGACGCTAGAAGGAGGGCGTGTAATACTTTCCTCCGATAACCTTATGGTTTCAACTCGAAGCTATATTCGCCATACAACTGAGGACTATCATTCTTCTTCAAACCCAACTTACCACTCCATGCGCCCTCCCACTTACCGATCTGATCATCTGTACACCCATGGCCAATTTCATCGCGAACATGATCATAATAACCTTCACAACCCTTAGACTTTGAGCGGTACGATGGTACTCAACTGCCACCAAGATCGGTGGACAACTTCAACACATTGGTTCATCTATTCACAGCCCAATACACTACAAGTAGACCTTTGCCGACGCCAGCCAGCCAACATGGACGAACTCAAGGCACGTGCTGTCGGATACCTCCAGACGGAGGAACATGCCGAATTTAGGAACCAAGTTTGAAACAACATGAATCCCAAGGAGGAGTCAAGCACCAAAGATAAGGCAAAACCACACACCGATTACAGGCTTAAAAGATCTCATCATGTACGAGGTCTGAGGTATGATTTCTATACCCCATTAAATGCATCGCGCGTCAATATTCTTGAAGCGGCTAACCATGTAGATTTGATATCTTTACCTCTGCGGGTGAACAACCCAATAAATGCCGAGTTTGGTGGTAAAGTTCTACCAAGAACTTGGAATGCTACTCACTTGAAATTTTATTATAGCTAAATATGTAAACTTAGGTAATGTACTCTTTTTCCCACTTCAGTCTTTTTTCCCAAGTATTGAAAAATAAGGGTTTTGGTTGAAGAGATTTTAATGAGGCATACCTTGAGTATGAAAAGAGATGTAAATTGATAAACACGCTTATATATATATATATATGCATCCCTCTTCTCTAATCATAATATATCTTCTCTAATCATAATATATATATATAGACCTATGCATGTGCCTATATGTTTTCATTTAACCACTTGTTACCACTCTGAGCCAAGTTTGAGCCAATTCGCCAAGTTTGAGCCAACCTCTTGATCAACTATAAGTTGGCCAAGTTTGAGCCAACCTCCCCATCAGCTATAAGTTGGCCAAGTGGGAGCCAACAACCTCCTAATCAACTATAAAAAATAAAAAATAGAAAACGATCATTCTTCTCCAGATCCCACATATCCGTCGAAGCCTATTCGAACTTGTCAATCCGAGCATACCCACATTAGTCATCCCATATATGATCACAACTATAAGTTGGCCAAGTTTGAGCCAATAATGGATAGAGTACCACTAGGTTGACTATTAAGGAGTCTCCTAAGCATTAGGAGTTCTCCTTCATAAGGATAAACTGACTCCACATTAGACATTTGAGGTCTTGTTTCATTCTCACTCTAACTTGAAGAGGAGGTAGTAGTCTCTTCTTGACTACTATAAGTGTCATGCTCCCTTAAGATCATGACTTTATTTGTAGGGCATTGAGAAGCAATGTGGCCTCTCCCTAGACACTTGAAACATTTGATATCACTAGTCTTTGTGCTAGTGTGTGAAGTGATGGTACCTTTACCCTTATCTCTATTCTTTTCTTTATTCTTAGCTAATTCCTTGGAGGGTTCTAAAATATTTTTCTTTTCAAAAGATTTTTCCTTCTCCATGTAGTCTTTCTTATGAGATCTAGAGTGGGAGCTTTCTCTTTTAGAAGAAGATTTTCTTAACATTTGTTGTTCTACCCTTACACAAGGTTGGACCAAGTCATTTAGGTCCCTGTAGGGTAGTAGCTCCACTTGGTCTCTAATCTCTAAGTCAAGACCACTTAGGAATCTAGCTACAGTGGTGGCTTCCTCTTCTCTAATACATACCCTCATCATGTATAGCTCCATCTATTGCCTATATTGCTCAACAATCATATCTTTTTGTTGTAGCCTTTGGAGCTTATTCATAAACTCCCTTCCATAATAAGAAGGAATGTGTCTCCTCCTCAATACACCCCTAAGATCATTCGAATATTGGATAGGAGGATCATTGTGGAGGCGCCTCTCTCTTCCAAAGAGGTCCACCAATACATTGCATGCTCTTGAAAGCTAAGGGTTGTAAGTGACACTTTTCTCTCTTCACTCACCCTGTGGCAAACAAAGAGTTGCTCTACCTTCATCTCCCAATCAATGTAGGCTTCCACATCATCCTTCCCAAAAAATTGTGGGAGATCCACTTTGGATTCCCTAGGCTTAACAACTCTCCTACACAAAATGATTTCTTCTTTTCTTTTTCTTCTTTTTTTATTCTCATTTGTGCTTGATCCTCAACCACTTGTTGAGGTGAGAGAGGATAAAGCACAAATTTCCTTTCCTTATGAGTAAAGGTGATTTCGTTAGTAAGACCATTGTGTATAGTTTTCTTTTCAACTTGTCATGGTCTTCCTAACAAAATATGACAAGCTTCTATTGGTACTATATCACATAAAACTGGGTCTTCGTACTTTCTAATGGAAAACTTGACCTTCACTTATTGAATAACTACTATGTCTACATCCTTATTAAGCCATTGTAAATGATAAGGTTGAGGATGTGGCATAGTAATTAAACTCAACTTTTAAACAACCTAGTGCTACAACAATTGCACCATGAAGGACTATCTACAATGAAAGAACATGTTTTATTTAAAACATTACATCTAGTATGAAAAATATTCTCTCTTTTGGATAGAGTACCACTAGGTTGACTATTAAGGAGTCTCCTAAGCATTAGGAGTTCTCCTTCATAAGGATAAACTGACTCCACATTAGACATTTGAGGTCTTGTTTCATTCTCACTCTAACTTGAAGAGGAGGTAGTAGTCTCTTCTTGACTACTATAAGTGTCATGCTCCCTTAAGATCATGACTTTATTTGTAGGGCATTGAGAAGCAATGTGGCCTCTCCCTAGACACTTGAAACATTTGATATCACTAGTCTTTGTGCTAGTGTGTGAAGTGATGGTACCTTTACCCTTATCTCTATTCTTTTCTTTATTCTTAGCTAATTCCTTGGAGGGTTCTAAAAAGATCGGGAAACAAACTTAAAAATTGGCTAAGTCTGAGCCAACCTTGAAAAATTGCCAAGTTTGAGCCAACATTAAAAAATTGC